TTTTTGGCAAGATATTATAATAAAATATATCTGAATGGAAAGCAGTGAGATTTTTGTTAAAGGGGCAGAACAAGGTAAGGCATTTAGTAGAATGACAACTCAGCCAGGCAACTCCTCTTCATTTTATAGATAATCTATCAGAGGTTTATGGAGCCTTTAGTAAAACCTTGTAAAGCTCCAGTTTTATGATCACTATTTGTTCTGTCTTCCAGACCTTTTTGGCATTTCAAATCCGTGCTACCTTATTTATAATATTTTCAGTATTTGGTGCTCAGGTTAGTTAGACAGCATCTAGCATCAAAACACCAGGGAATATATGGCAAGAATCACAGTTTGAAATCTTTTTTTTGGCACTAGTGTGAGCGTTTACTTTTCTCTAGTGATTTGCAGCCATTGTGGGTTGCTAAGGACAAGGATTATGCAGGGTTTTTCTTTTCTGTCAAGCGGCTTTGCTGAAAATAACAAAGATTTAGGAGAAATCATAGCTTGTATTTTTTTTGTTTTGTTTTGGATATTACTCTGATTTATTCGAGATGCAAAAATATTGACCCAGAAGCTTTCTTGGGATGATGAGGTTACACAGACGTGCATGCGAACACGCACAGGCGTTCCTTTAAGCTGTCTGAGTCATTAGGTTTGCTTGGTCCGGAACAGGGTTATTCAGGGAGAGGGAATATTTCCAATGTACCAGCAAGAAATAATGTGCCCATCCTAGATAGAAGCCGCCCTGGAAATGGGGACATATAGATTTAATGCACTGTATAGATGTTGCCAGTGACTTTATGACTCATAGACACCTAGTGACTTTATGAATTGGAAGCATTCGTGAACATATAACATCAATAGCCCAGGTCATAACATCTAGAATCATAGAGTTGGAAGAAACCTCGTGGACCATCCAATCCAATCCCCTGCCAAGAAGCAGGAAAATAGCATTGAAAGCATCCCCGACAGATGGCCATTCAGCCTCTGTTTAAAAGCCTCCAAAGAAAGAGCCTCCACCTCACTTCGGGGCAGAGAGTTCCACTGCTGAACAGTTCTCACAGTAAGAAGTTCTTCCTCATGTCTTGCAAATTCATTTCTGTGGCTTCCTTTATTAAATTGGTCTTTTGGGCAGTCCACAATATCTGTAAAAATGTCTTCCAGCACATTTCAGATTAGTCAGTACTCTTCCTGTCAGTTTTCTTGACTGTCCAGCTTTTACAACCATGGATAGAAATAAGAGATATTGCCTTATGGATTATTCTGCCTTTGATATTTAGCACTATTAATTAGCTTTGAAGCACCTTAACTGTCACCTTAGCTGAAAATGAATTTGCAAGAATTTCTTTAGGTTTATAGAAGAAGAAACAAAGTTAATAATCAAGATGAAGTGATGCCATTTGTATTCAGGTCTTTTAGCTCCCACTCAGCTCTTTATCCATTATAGACCATGCGGTGAGGGGGCAGATACTTCCACAGTTCCTGCTGCTACAACCCTCTGTATTCTGGTTGATGCTATGGGTAAGACTATACCAAATTGGTTTTTAGCTGCATTTGACTTGTGTTGTGTCTTCTGTTGGGGTGGGTGCTCACAGAAGAAGTCCTGATTCAGCTGCGTGGCTTGAGGAGTGCTCCTAAGATTGCATGGCTCAGTTGAGAACTGGCTTTCCCTGTGCCTCATTCTGCCTTATTAAGGAAGTTACAGCATAGTTGAGAGCTGGCATCTCCTAGTTTGGAAATGTAAATGAGAATGTGGCGTGGGTTTCGAAATCAGGCTGTTACCTCCAATTGTGTATCACTGATTGGAGGTAACAGCATGCTTTTTCTCTCCGTTCAGTGTGTCAGCGTATAGACCTCATTTATATCTATACGTTTAGTGTTGTGCAAGAGGTTAAAAGTGAAGCACCTGTCAAGACTAAGAATTCCTGGCTGTTTATTTCAACTTTCCCATTTGCAAATAAAAGTTTATACAATTCAAACTAAAAATGGCATATTCATGTTAGGAGGGATTCATAGGTCTAAAGCAAAGCACAGTGATTTACAAATGATCTGAGGGAGCTGTCAAAGGAACTGTCATGGACAACTTGGAAAGCTAGGATGAGGAGATGCTGGTTGAAGGGCTAGAAGTTGAGCTGGATTCAAGCAGTGCTCATCAGCTCACCCAGCCAAGCTTTGAAGAAGCATTCGTAGAAGGAGCCACTATTTCTAAGCCTGCAAAACAAGTACAAGCGGGTTCCTCTGAGCAGACTGAGAAAGAGGTAACTGTTTGAGTTTCCTGGGCCTGCAAAGAGAAAGGTCTCAGCTGCGTAGATCCTCAAGACCAGCTGAGAAACAAGCCAGCAGCAGTTAACACTTGACAACTTACAATTTGAGAAACTCAAGCTTGCCACCTTGTTGATTGCTGCAACTTTGATGCTTGAAGCTGTGATATCGGACTTTTGTTATCTGGTATTTGTGATCCCTGAACATACCTTTGGCTGTTGAATTCTGATTTATCCCTGGATACTGGACTCCCTTGTATTTGGCTCTGGACCCTACGGTTACTCTCCTGTTTCCTCCCTACTGATAGGGTCAAGGCTTCTGAAAGGAAGCTGAAAAATCCTGGAATTATTTGCTTGTGTGGGGAATAGTTATTGGAGGGTCAGAACCTTTTTTTTGGGGGGGGGGGTCAAACTAGACATAACACAAGTTGCACCACTGGGATTCATGTCAGTTTTTAAAATCAATATCAGATGTTTGTGTGTGTATATGTGTATGAAAGGGAGCAAGAGAGAGCCATAGGAAGAAAGTAATGCTGAGTGTGGGGAATTGAGGTCTATCAATTTCTTTCCCTACTGTGCTTGCAATGAAAATCAATCTCCCTGACACTAATGGGAATTTTTCTCCTAGAGTTAAAGGTGTGTGTATTTGGAGAAGGGGGGTATTGGAGGAGCTAGCATACAGATTTCTGTTGGGATGCTGGAACATAGGTGCCTGAGTTTCACAGACTTGTGATATGTCTAGGGCAATACTGATTGTCAGAGTCTCCAATGTTCCAAACAGGAAGACTTCATCTTGATGCTAGAGATTGGATCTATGTTAGTTACACTAAGCTATGGCCTCTTATATGGGAGGGGTGTTCCCCACATAAACCACATCTCTCTACGCTGCTAACATTAAAACAGACATGCATCCATATAAACATTGTGATCCCTCAGTTAATGTGGCCTTCAGTCTCTTGGGTAGAAACAGACTCTTTGCAGATCCTTCAAGAGTGGCTCCTACTGTGCTTTGGAATGCCAAAGCTCTCTGTCCTGTTTTGTTTCTAAATACTCTATGTATCCTCTCTGGTTGGAAGGAATGATGGGAATGCCATCCTTTTTGTGGGAAAAGGCAATGGTGGCAGATGCTGAACTGCCTTCCCTTAGTGACCTCAATAGTGTTGGTCACCCTTGTATCACTAATGCTGCTTTCCTTTGTTCTCCCCAGCAGCACACAGTTTATAAAGCTTTCTACAGTACAGGGATTTGCTGTTAGTTGCTCTCTATAATAGAGTACTCACATTCACCATGTGCACGTCAAGCGCTGTTTACATACCACAGCAGGCACAGGGCTGGGTGTGCTCTTGCGCTGTTGAAACTGGGTCCAGGACGAGCGGGAGTTTGCATTGAGCAAGAAATCATTCAGATCAAACAGGGTTGAGGCCATGCTAAGATCAGATTGTTTTGTAGAGAAAATGGAGATGCAACAAGAAATCCTTGTGTTATTTCTTGTTAAGAAAAAGAAATTAATTGCAATAAAATATAGTGTAGAAAGAAGGACAAAATGGCTTCGGACATCACTGCAGCTGGCAAGAAAGGGGAGAAAGCATAGGAAGTTACATCTGTGAAGAGAGCAAGCTGTCTTGTTGACTCCCGCATTGTTCAGAATCCAGAAGGACAAGTTTTTCAGGCAACATAGATGGCTTTCTCTACTATCCATTCCCACTGCTCTGCGCTGCTTCCAAAAGTGATTTATATTGGTTCAATGGAGCAGTATATTGATGTGTGCCATCAATGGGATTCTGACCCATCCCTGCTCTAAAATCCAGGAAAGTTTCTAAATAAAATGTACCCCTTTAAAGAGCCTGAAATCTGATGGCTTTTAAGGGATTGCATCAGTCTTGTCCAGTTGGTATGTTCTAATTAGATAAATAGGTACCACTTTAAAAGCGGGGAGGTATTTAGGCACCCATAAAAAATGCCAGAAAATGCTGCGATTTGATCAAGGAGGAAAGTTTACAAACAAAAGCTCTTCAACAGCAAAGCTGGAGCGACAGCAACCCCCCACTCCCCATGGCCAGAACTGAGCACAACCTCCAAGATGCCGAAGATGGGAAAAGCGTGTGTGTGTGTGTGTGTGTGTGTATGTACAACTTGTCTTTCTTGCCATTGTATAATCGGCATTGATTGTTTACCGTATATGTATTCTGTGATCCGCTCTGAGTTCCCTTCAAGGCGAGAAGGGCAAAATATAAATAAATACATACATACATAAATAGGGGTTGATAACCTGGAGCTCTCCAGATTTTCTGCTTCTGTAATCCCTGACCAACACGGCCCAGGTTTATGGGAGTAACAATCCAGTGCATCTGTCAGATGCCAGTTTGCCTGTTCTTCCTGCAAGGAGCATTTTTTTTTGCCTCTGCAGCTGAAGGAGCCCCTGATTTCAGGTGATTTGCTACTTAGCTCTGGCCTATCAGAGAAAACCTTTCCTTACCTTCTATCTGTTGGTTAGTGTTGCATGAGTGGATGTCTCTGCATGCCATAGCTGTGCCACAACAGGGCAGGGGGGAGAATAATATTGGTTTGGGTGAAGGCAAGTCCTATTGCTGGTTGTCATAACATGACTTCTGCTTCTTTGTTTGTAACTGCCATTGATGATTCAACAGGGCCATCTCAAGGTTGAATGCCACTGTGGATGTATAATTTATAGACCATGAAACCATCAAGCTTTCTCCGGTGCTCTTAACATTCTGTTCCCCGTGTCTTCTTGCCCAGGGGCTGCCGTGAATCTCACCCTTGTGACTCCAGAAAAAGCCATCAAGCTAGCTGCCAATGACTTCTTCCGACATCATCTTGCTAAAGATGGGTAAGTCAGAGTGGAGAGCTCTCTGCAGAATTGTTTCCATCAGGGAATGGCAGGATTTGTGATTTGACGTTGCTACATTCCATTATTTCTAGTCTGGAGCATTGAATCAGGTCACAGGGGAATGCCAGTTTTGTTTCTTTTCCAAATACAATATGAAGGTTTTCTTCTGCACATGCCTTGAAAACAATAGGATACCACAGGCACATTCCAACTATACAACAGATGTTTATCTTTTGTCGAAGAGACCCAAACTGGTTTTGCAGCTTTAAATTCTTTAGGGATTGCTTTGTTTTTACTTGGCAAGGACCAGCCCTCAGGATAATAGTCTTTCTTTGCTGCCCATGAATGATGGATGATCAAGTTGGTTCTCTGAGAGCAAAGCTCAGATCTGGGCAGCCTAGGTTTTATTTATTTATTTATTTATTTATATCATGTCAAAAGCATTGTACAGATCAAACAAGTATAAAACTGATAAAACAGAGGGAACACAAGTGGTTAAACAATTCCAGACCAAAAACGGTCAACAGTGACTACATTGTCTGTAACTTTAAGTAATTCCTCCTCTGTACGTGAGGCAGGGCATTGTAGGCAAGCATACAGATGCAGAGTTGTTTGTTCTGCTCTACAGTCACACAAGGTGGAGGATTCTTCTAGGTAGTGCCATTTTGCCAGGTTGTCTTTTGATCTGCCCACTCCACTTCTGAGTCTGAGGGACTTCCAAGTTGCCCATTCTTGGTTTGCCCATGAAGGCGGACTTTTGTGGGGGGTCATCCCCCCACAAGGTTTACGGGATTTCCTGGTTTATGGGATTTCCTGGTTTAATTGCCCAGAGGGATACTCTTGCTGTTGCTGGAGGAACATTAAGAGGAGTGGTGGTTCTTATGAAACTTTTCTTGATTTGAGACTACTGGGAGGAGGCTGATAGCCATAGAAAGATGGCTTTCACAGTGTTCAACCTTATTCCTCCTAGCTTATTCAGCAGCCTACTCTTGAGAGAGATTACTTTAGAGTTCAAATATATAGTGCTTGGGCAATCAGTGCAAACGGCAGTATTTCAGCCTTGCATAGCTTGTTTAGCCTAGTTCAGCTATGGAGGTTTTCATCTCAAGATAACAATTCTTATCTATACATTTCTAGAGTGTCAGGGTCACACCCTCTTTTTGATTCCATTGGATCATCCTGGAATGTTTGCTTTGAAGCTTGAATTTCATCCTCCCAGTGTTGTTTTCATGATGAAAAGCTTTCTGCGATCTCCCCCTCCCCAATGAATCACCCTGCCCACTGGCCAGGAGATAATGGGCCGCATTCTTTAGAAGGTTTACTAATTGGTTAATTTTTAAAAGAACACAGGACTTCAGTTCTTTTTGCTGGAGCAGTTGACAACCCCTTTTGATAATTACTATTCAATTTGGTTTCTGTTGACTGTATACCTAATACAACACCTACAATGTGTTTTCAGCTATGCTCTTCTAGGTTACAACTGCACTATTTTAATTGTGCCCTCTGACCCAGTTCTCTCCCTTGTATAGATTGGCCAAGCAGGTCCTTACTTGCATGACCAACCGATACTCTGGGTAGAACTGAGTAACCATTGCATTTTCTATTTTCAAAGTGCCCTTCTCTGTCCTCTTAGCTTTCTGTATAGCTCAAGATCTTCTTGTATCATACTTTTGCCCTGCTAATTCTGTAAGGTCTACATAGTTAAAGCAATGGTATTCCCCATAGTGACCTATGGATGTTAGAGCTGAACCATAAGGAAGGCTGAGCGAAGGAAAATAGATGCTTTTGAACTGTGGTGCTGGAGGAAAATTCTGAGAGTGGCTTAGACCACCAGAAGATCCAACCAGTCCATACTTCAGGAAATAATGCCCAACTGCTCACTGGAGGGAAGGATAGTAGAGTCAAAGATGAAGTACGTTGGCCACATAATTTGAAGACAGGAAAGCTTGGAGAAGACAATGATGCTGGGGAAAATGGAAGGAAAAAGGAAGAGGGGCTGACCAAGGGCAAGATGGATGACTGTTACCCTTGAAGTGACTGGCTTGACCTTGAAGGTGCTGGGGGTGGTAACGGCTGACAGGGAGCTCTGGCATGGGCTGGTCCATGAGGTCATGAAGAATTGGAAGCAATTGAACAATAAATAACAAAATGTTTGTGTAATATCACCCTGGTTCCATAATAATGCCATAGGGCTGGGCTGTTTCTTCTTGTTCTTCATGTATATAATATCTTGTTTTCTCTTTTAAAATAGTTTCCCTTTTGAGGGGGATAGTAATTTGAGGAACGGAGAAGTCTTTGTCATGGTGATGTGGGAAATAATTTCCTATTTCCTTTCTCCTTGTACAAGATCCTATTTGTGCACTTTCTCATTTTCTTTCACTCCTGCCCTTTGCTGAACCAAATACATTTTCACACTGTTACTTTCGGTTAATTAAAAAGGTGCAAGGCTGGAGATACGCACCTTTCTTTCTGCTTTGCTGAGCCTCTGTATAGGGCAGAATAAATATGTCCTTCTGCATTTTCCCTGCTTCCAAAAATAGTCCATTTTCTCAGTCAAGGTTACTTTGCACTTAGAATTTCCATGGGAAAGTATCCATAAAGGAATGCAGCACCCGTGAAAAGTCCAGTCGGTGGTGAGCAGTCCTTCATTCCTAGCACTAATTTAGGCTACTGATGAATCCTAGTTTTAGCGCTAGCCAACAGGCAGCACACAATGGCACCGTTCTTTTATTTTAGACTAAAAAAAAAAAGATGGAGAGCCACACATAACAAATTCTTTAAAGCTTTCCATGCTCTATCTCATCTTAGTTAAGGCTGTATAGCTGTGGTGATCAAAGAGGGGGACATCAGTTGGATGTGTTTCCAGATGGTCCTGTGAACAAAGCCAGTGCAGTTACGCTGAAGTAAGCATTACCAAATTAATTAACACTGGTGTTGTAACTGCATTTCAGATATTGTTTTCTGCCATCTCACCAGTTGTGAATCTGCTGGCAGTTGACCAACAGGACCTTTCACAAGCCCTTGAGTGTTGAAGTCTATGTATTGACAATAACATATGACCATTGAAACTGGGCCCCAGGGTCAAATTGCTTTTGGGATGAATGCAAGTTCATTTCTTGACAAATGTAATTAGCACATTATGGTGGTTAAGTGGCTTGTTTATAATGACAGGGCCAGCTTTGTGGAGCTGGTTTTACCCAGTACAAAGACACATCTGACTACAGAAGTCTGTCTCGCTGCATCCAAGACATATTTGCATTTGACAGAAATGATAGCACTGCATTTTCTATATATGTACATAGCTATAGAAAATGCATTAGCGCTTGGGCTCTTAATGCTGTTGCTGCTTTTACAAAGGAAATTGGTAGAGAGAGACAGCAAAAGGCCAGCTGTTGTTATGACTTGACTCTTCATTTCTTGATGATTTATTACATTTTACTAATCTAAAAAAGGGAAAAGTAAATAAATAATAAATTGGGAATGGGTTGGTACTTTCCATGTCTTCTGATATAATTTTACATCTCCAATATGTGCTTAATACAGTTTCTCACTCATTTTAAGACTAAGGAAATACAAGCATTTTATTGCTTTCAGTGTGCTAGTCGTTTTTTGTTTCAAGTCTGGAGTGACTTGAGAAAGTGCAAATCACTTCTGGTATGAGAGAACTGGCCGTCTGCAAGGATGTTGTCCAGGGGACCCCCAGATTTTTTACCATCCCATGGAAAGTTTATCTCATGTCCATACATGAGAAGCTGGAACTTACAGACAGGAGGTCACCCTGCTTCCTGGATTCAAACCGGCCAACCTTTCCGTCGGCAGTCCTTCTGGCACAAGGGTTTAACCCATTGTGCCCCGAGGGGCTCCTTGTTGTTGGACAGGACATAGAAGTGGTAGATTAGTCATAGGATCTCTTGTAATTTTAACCTACAATGGCAAATACAGAGAAGGCAACTGAAAATGCAACAGAGGCATGGCATATTGTTAGAATAACAATGAAATAATACAATTTGCAAGATGGAAAGGATCAGTTATGTCTGAATTTTTCAAAATAAATATACATCACAGTATCTAGGAACTCACTCTCTTTCATAATGTTTGAAAGTAATGGAGTATGTGTGTACGTATCTTCAAGTTGCCTATTGACTTATGGCATCCTTTTGATCTTTGTAGGGTTTTTAAGGCAAGAAATCCTTAGGTATTATAGTGCCAAGGTCCTCCTATGTCTTAGGCAATACAATAAAAAGTATTGCTTTCTATGTTTATTTTCAAGCTTTCAAAATAGTTCTGATTTTATTTTTAAGGCATGTTCATTATTACTAATTTCTATGTGTAATAGCCTTGCTTTTTCATTTTCTTGTGTTTTTTAACAAAAACCTTGCCCTTCACTTGTTTGTTGTTCTAAAGTGTTATTAGAAAACTGCTGATTTTAGCTCTTTCTCGTCCTAGCCACTAAGCATTATTGCATTAATTCTTTCTTTGTGGGCATAACCAGAACCATCAAGTAAATTGATATCTGCTCTCTCTTCCTTTTCTTGCTCTGTGGCATTGTTTTGCTTATTGAACAGAAATGTGAGATACTTTCCTGTGACAATGCATAGGCAATTTTTCCACTATGCCTGTCACTGATCCAGATGCTTTTGAGCATATTAGCTCAGGAAAAAATGATTTCATGCTGCAGAACAAAACCATTGAGCCTTGTGCCCAACCCATACGTGTTCAGGGTACCAGGAGTGTGTCCCCAAACCTTTTCATTACTCAGGTTTTGCTCTGCTCCTTTAATTGATTGTGTTAACCCTAGCCAGATGACATAACAGTGATATTGGTGAAGCCACAGAGTGATGGGATGTGAAATAGTTACTAAGATAATAATAAGAATAATAAAAACTTTATTTGTATACCACCCTGTTTCTCCAAAGGGACTCAAGACAGTTCCCCAACATGTAAGGCAAACATTCAATTGCTGGAAAGAAACCATGCAGACAATTTCATCAAGATAAACA